ATGAGAGAGTAAAGTTTCTACAAGAGGCAGCCATTATGGGTCAATTTCATCATCCTAATGTTGTTAAACTTCATGGAGTGGTCACCATTGGACATCCTGTGAGTCTGTAGCATTACTAATGATTGTACTCTTTAATAATTATTAAATGTTGTACATAGATAATGATAGTACTGGAATTAATATCTGGAGGTGACTTGAAAGAGTACCTTAACAAATTCAAACCATCGTAAGTTTGTATTAATCATTGCACTCATATCTCTTGTCTCTCTCTTCTCTTAGTCCTGGGGAGTTAGTGTTATCATCAGTTCCTTCTATTTTGCTCTCATTTTGTCGTCAAATTGCTTCAGGAATGGAGTACTTGTCAAGGAAGAAGTTTGTTCACAGAGATCTTGCAGCAAGAAATATATTAGTATCAGATGAAGGAACAGGAATATGCAAGGTAAGAGATTAGTACTAACAATTGGACTTTATATAGTATGGTCTCAGATTGCTGACTTTGGTATGTCAAGGGATCTACAAGATGAATCTTATTATATTTCACAAGCAAAAAAGATTCCAATAAAATGGACAGCACCAGAAGTAATTAAAAACTATATAATTAGAATATTGAATTGTGTATGTATAGGCATTACATTATAAGAAATATTCGAGTGCTAGTGATGTGTGGAGTTATGGAGCTGTAATGTATGAGATTTGGTCAATAGGACATAAACCATTTGAAATGTACACTAATCAAGAAGTACTATTAATAATGATAATAATTATTGTTAATTCACTGTATTTTTAGTGCATTAGATTGGTTGATTCAGGCTATAGATTACCACCTCCTCCAGGATGTCCTAAACCAATGTATAAACTAATGATGCAATGCTGGTATGTATTTATACTGTCACAGTCATTGGTTATGTTGTGCTATCATGTAAAAAATGGTTATAACTCAAAAAATATTAGTCGGAATCAGATCAAATTTTCTAAAGAGCATAAGGACATCAATGTGTATCACAAAATTTAATAAAAATTTGGGGTGATTTTGGAGCCATTTTTTTGGACAAAACCCTGGGCTATAGCCTTGGGTATTTTTCAGAATTTTAGCATTTTCTTAAAATGGCCATAACTTGAAAAATTGAAGTCGGAATCAGCTCAAACTTTCTACATAGCATAAGGACATCAATATGTATCAGAAAATGTAATAAAAATTTGGGTTGATTTTGGAGCCATTTTTTGAAAAAAACCATGGGCTATAGCCTTGGGTATTTTTCAGAATTTTAGCATTTTCTTAAAATGGCCATAACTTGAAAAATTGAAGTCGGAATCAGCTCAAACTTTCTACATAGCATAAGGACATCAATATGTATCAGAAAATGTAATAAAAATTTGGGTTGATTTCGGAGCCATTTTTTGAAAAAAACCATGGGCTATAGCCTTGGGTATTTTTTAGAATTTTAGCGTTTTCTTAGAATGGCCGTAACTTGAAAAATTGAAGTCGGAATCAGCTCAAAATTTCTACACAGCATAACGACATCAATATGTATCAGAAAATGTAATAAAAATTTGAGTTGATTTCAGAGCCAATTTTTGGAAAAAACCATAATTCTATAGTACAGCTAGGGTATGACAAATATGTCTTGTAATAATTACCAAGATCTAATGGCTAAGCTAAGATACTACATTATAGGCACTATATACTATTATTGTGATCCACAATAATAAGCAATAGTGTTATTGTTATTTTTCCATTCACAGGAATCCTGATACTTATAATCGTCCAAGTTTCTCAGATATATCATCAAGTCTATCCTCACCTGATAAACAATTACTAATGATTAATAAAGAGGATCCTGTTACTGTACTGGGTGGAGCTTTAGAAACAAGCCACTCCCTCTACAACGACTTACAGTACATGTATAAAAAGTAAAATTTGCAAGATCTACTTTCTTTTTTTACCTCTCTCCCTGTCCCCACTCCTCATTGCTTCTTCCTACTAATTATTTATATTATATTAACAGTTTCAGTGAGTGATTAAAATTATGTTCAGTTCCTACCTCATTTATAAATTTATATTATAATTTTCAGTACTGCATTTGTATTTTTTGAACTATTTTTTTTACTTTATAAAACTTTATATTGCATAATTTTGAAATAAGAACTTAACTATTGCATAAAAACTGAAGAAAATATACTCTTGACTGTGTGAATGTGCATAAAGTAGACTACTGGCTATTATAATCTGTAATGCATGCATGGTATCAAAAATACATTACAATATAGATCTAAGAGCGGCTGAAGCCTGCATGGTGTACACAAATAGCTTGGTTGTGCTGTTGCATATGATTACAAGCGAAAAAATTGAATATCATATTTTCTTGATGCTACAGTCAAGCTCACTTTTACTGCTACTATCACTATACAGTGGGATATAGTGTTTCTAATGTTCACATTCATGGCAACTTTTGAGCAAGACTTGCTTTGAGATAATAGTACAGATCATTATAAGGTATAAATATTTGGATTTGTGAATCTCACTAACTGTTAGGTGGTGCTAAATATCAAAGCATTCAAGGCTTTAAAATGATAATTTTCAGAAAATTTAATTGCAACTTAAAGAAAACAAACATTGTATTGTGTTAAAAGATGACATCACCAGAGGCTAATGGAACCAATAAATTATTCTAGAACATTGTCACCACCACAAGAACCCCCACCTCAACCACCAGTAGGAGGGCCACCACCACAAGGACCCCCACCACAACCACCACCAGGACCTCTACGACGACCACATCTTTTACGACCTTTTCTTTTAAAACATTTGGGATACCTACAATTATTACAGTACACTAATGATAGTTCAATCAATAAAAATACTCACAGTGCTTTAATGCAAGGGGTAGGTAGCTCTTCTCCCTTCGTTTCAAGGACCTTGCAAGCAATTAGAGCTAAACGCTCTTCGCAAGGACATGGCGGAGGAGGCACTAAATGTATACACATTAAACAAATGAATAAAACTGTATTGATCTTACAGCCAGTAACAAACAGCTTGAGGAAAAAGGGAAATCCAACGTGATACTCACTCATGTTATCATAATAGTCAAAAGGCATTACCAATATGTATGCGTTATAAGGCTCTCTTGATATCAGATCTTCATTGAGAGCGAAGCAGGTCTCCCCCGTTGATGTCACGTTAACTTCAAACAATGTGGCATTGGATTCGAAAACTACAATACAATACACAAATTTATAAAATAGATCTGATAGTGCATTAACTCAGCAACTATAATTTATGCATGAATTATTTATACTGTATAACTGGAAATATTTGTTTGAATTTAATTTTACTGTTTTCTGTTCATCATAAAAGCACACAAAATTAATTCCACAAAGCTTGATAAGTAAATGTTGTATCAACAGTTCACACCTACACCAACAAAATTAAATTCTTCATACATTAAAATTTGCTCTGTTAGTACAAAAGTGCAAAATATAACTTTTGCAAGCTTTTCCAACTATAGGGTAATGGGAACACTTGGTTATTGCCCCAATGGGTACAAACCAATACAAAAGTGTCTCTAAAATGAGGTGTCCTTATAAAAAGACTATTATATACTGAGCTTGCATGTGTAGCTATATTCATAGCTAGCATACAACTGATGCATCATTAATAGTAATTATATTACACAGCCAAGAGTTAGCATGTATGATACAAGACACTGCCCAAAATCAATGAATCGAGCCTGATTACAGTATTGATACAGCCTGACAAGTATCATTGCAGAATCATGCATGTTGCTCTGGCTGAACCAGTATGTAATCCAGCAAGATTGTATCAAGGCTGATAGATCAACCTAGGCTCATTGCAATGTTAGCTGCCCAAAATCTATGATTCAGGATACATTAGGCTGGATCAGGACTGACACCATTCATGATTCAATCACAAACTCTTGGCTGTGTATATAGTTGCATTACCTGATAGATCATATAATTCCATTGCTAATGTCAATACTGAAAATGGTCCATCACGAACATAGACACAGATATCAATGGCTTCTCCTTCAAAGATGAGTTGTTTACGAGACCTGAATCTCACAGTAGGAGCTTCATGAGAAACTATGAGATGCAGCAATCATTATTTATCAATAATAGTAACTTACCAATCAATTGAAGGAGCTGTAGCAGTATAACCAAACACAGCAACATTGTGGAGAGAAAGAGAGAGAGAGAGAGAGAGAGAGAGAGAGAGAAAGAGACAGGAAGTCTAACTAGTAATTGGTGCAAGCCAAACAGTTAATTTATACCAATCAAAGGAATAATGTAAATTAGATTTTTAATAACAACAAAGAATTTATTAATAATTGCTTTAAAATTTCTCCTGATTTTGTTTAAAATTACATGCATGCCTATTTAAAACATTATAAAATAATTTTTTAGCCATTTTTATGAAATTTGGCGAAAGACCCTCTACTATTATAGCACAGAGACTTTTATCTGCAATTTTTGAGCTACTTAAAAAATTTGTAAAAAATCCAAATTTGATTGGAATTTGTTCAAACTTGCTACGCAACATAAATACATGTATGTATACCAGAAAGTGTAGCAAAAAATGGAAATTTTTCTCCTTTTCATTATTGATGAAATTTGGCCAAAGCCCATTTAGATCTACTAAATAGTACAGGGACTTTTTGAGCAACATAAAAAAAATTTTTTGACTGGAATCAGTAAGTACTCTCATGCAACGTGAAATCACGTGTGATAACTTTAATAAAGGCGTGGCTAGTTATAATACAGTCACTCATGATGAATTGATGAAGACCTCCATTTTAGATAACAAAGGTAATTTATTTTTACTATTATAAGAAATATATTAGTTATAATAGACTTTTACCATGTATATAGGATACACATTAAGAAATTAATGAAAGAGGTTTATTTCAACATGAGGCTATGGAACAAGTAAATGAGTGAGTTAAAATTTTTTGTGCAACTACATCCAGTAACATTATCAATGTAGGGCTGGTTCTCGGGCTGAGTATTAAAAAAATTTGCACATTCATTTATGTTTGTTCTTTCTTATATACGAGGGTATGTTGAATTTATAATACTGTAGAAGGGGAATATTTTACAGCCTTTATTATTTAATTTTTACGTGTTTTAAATTTTACTGTTTACATGTGAGCCATTATGAATTAATATCACTAACAGAAATTAACTGTTTAATTTTTTCTTTTAATGTAAAAGAAAAAAAATTTCATGGCAGAAAAAAGAAGGAAGGCCCTTAGGTAATTAAATTAATAATAGTTGAATTACTTGTACTTTAATTTCACACTTACGGAATTTTTAAAATCCGTTAATTATTTAATGTAAAAGAATTTTCTTTTTATGATATTAAGAACAAAATTAGCAATAAACAAAATTCTTTCAAAACACATTTTCAGAAAATTATCCAACTATTAGAAATGCCACCCTACTTTATGACATACCTTCATACATTTCACAGTTCTGTATCTTATATATTCATTATTCATTGTGGTCAGGAAGTAGTTTTTTGTGTGTTGATTGTTGATCTAGCACTATACCGTATAGCAGGTATATTCCGTTCGAATTTAATTTCATTCTTTCCGCTCTTATTCCTTGTGGAATGAACATTTTCCAAACGAAAAGGGCGTTTCCTCAATGCCACGTGTGCAAAATGGCTGCTCAGAATGAAAATAAAACGAATGAAAATTTCTAATCCTGCTTAGAACGAACATTTTTCCAGACGAAATATACCCGATATACGGTATATAAATAATAGGTTTCCCAAATTTATTCTGCATAGTTTTATTAGCAGTAAAGCGATTTATGAACTATTTCAATTCGTTTTGGGTGAAGTGAATGTAGTAGTAGTAAAGGATTATTGTCAGTTGTCATAATTATATGCTCATGGGAATAAATATGCACTTAAGCTCATTTCTCACTGATCACTAATATTGATCACTGAGCAATCAGTGATCATTTCTCACTGATCACTGATATTATGATACACATTATTATTTTGTTCTAGTTCTTTTTTTTACAAGACTGATTGCTCTGTTTGGGCCATTGGCTATCGTATTTATATGAGCAGATTCCAATCAAAATTGTATTTTTGCATGTGATTTTGGCCAAATTTAAAATGGAGAGAATCCTCCATTTTTCTGCATACATTTGAACTGATTCCAATCAAGTTTTATTTTTATAAATTTTTATAAAGTTGCTCAAAGGTGCAGGCCAAAGTCCCTGTATTGAAATACATGCATGGTTTGGTTGGGCCAAATTTTACCAAAATTGAAATGGAGAGAATTCTCCTTTTCATAATTGTTCATATACATGTACATGTTCTTATGTTGTGTAGAAAGTTTGAACTTATTCCAATTAAGTTTGGATTTTTTACAAATTTTTGAAGTTGCTCCAAAAGCCATGTACATGTACTTGTCAGCTTATGAAGCATGCTGTTTAGCTCACTTAATTCCGGCTTTGTACTGATTAAGTAAGTGATGTGTGTACATGTATTTTTTGTCTAATAGCACTGTGCCTACATGCTTGTCATTGTAATGAGCAATAACCACTGTAAATAATTGATAATTATAATTAATTTTATTTTAAATTAAAAAAATAGATGATATACACATATATACAAATCAGAAATTATTCAGCTGTAATAAAAAATTGCTGGTGTGGAAAAAACACAAAATAATTATAAATTATCATTTTACATGAACATAATAGTTGACAACAGCGGAATTTACAGAATGATATAATGTTTAGGAATTTATTGTGTCATAAATACATACACAACTGGTACAATATCTAAGGGCAGTATATGTCTTGTACATGTACATGTAGTTGAATGGAGAAGCAGCAAAAATGAATATATATCAGTGACTACTGGGTTGCTCGTTTTACATTACAATGATTTAGAATAGGTGATAGTAATATTTTCAGAAAGATTGTTTTTTACTGTAACTCTTTCCTCTGGAAATTGTTCCTTTCCTGTTTCTTGAACGCTGTATATATCAAAGGCAATGCAGTTGTGGTTACTCAGTGAAATTGATGCACTGTTGGGGTTGATATCTGATTGACTAACTGTCTCTATGGCAGTTTGATGCCCAGATGAATCAAAATATGCAATAGAGTTATGCTTCCTTATGTAATTTATTTTTGGCGAATGATGACTACTGTAGGCATAATCTGTCTCATAGTTTGTTGTTTTGGGTTGGATTCCTATCCCTGTTGTGTAGTTCCATTCGCTATCAGATAGATCTGTTGTAGTTGACTGACATGTTTGGTCTTGTGTTTCAGGTAAACTGATCATTGGCTGTTGTATTGGTTCATTGATCTGGTCATCAAGCACTGGATCATGATTGGCATTTATTGTGTAGTTTCGCTCGTCTTCTGATAAATCTGTTGTTGTTGATGGACGACTTTGAGCTTGCATTTGAGGTAAACTAGTCTCTGGTTGGGACTGTGATATTGTATCATTGCTTTCTTCATTGAACACTGGATTGTCAGCATGAGTGTCACGATTGAACAGGTTTTCCTCTGCACCTTGACCTGATGTAACACGGTAGTCCTGATTCACATCCTCTTCTAGTGCTACTCCTGGTTGAGGCACATGGGGGTTTCTTAAAACAATGCCCTGCCCTTCCGCCATTTTAACTTTTCTTCTTTAATTAATTATTTAATTTCTAATTGACCGAGTACAATGTAATTTTGTGTGTTTCCATGGAAACAGTTGAGTATGCATTTATTGTTTTTATAACAAAACTTGGATTATTCATTGTGTTCATAAGTAGTACGTAAAGTACATGTACATGTACTGTATGCCTTAAATATTGTGAGATAATTGCTTAAGTCATTCTTCATTCTGTATTGCTATTTGCTAACCTCATGTCTAATATCTTTCAAATGGACATGACTCTTTGCAGTGTCCAGTTGCTACTGTAGACTTCAGTTAGTGTTTGTTTATTATAGGTATGTGTAGGCTGTGGTCCTGATCATGTCTACAACCAATAAAGAGATGTTAGTATAGTGCTATATCTGGTGAGTTGTCTCTCCTTATCATGTGGGCCATTGTGGGGTGTATGGATCCTTCTTTCTATAAGTTATTCTTGTCTTTTCCCAGGACTAGTGTACTATCACTATGAGCATTTTCTGGACTGTGATATCATTATGCTTCATAGAAAGGTGAGTTTCATGTGTGTATTACTCTACATGTACTCTATTGTTGCAATCCATTTACAATGTTTTGTGGTGAAATAGTGTGATATTCCTATACTCATTGACAATGCAGCTCACACTATATTGCACATAGTGACATTAAACAATTAAGACATACATGTATTGCACAGTGTTATTTCGGCTTTAAATCTGCTACTTGTAAATATTATTTTAAAAGGCTAGATTTTGCTTACTTTGGAAGGTACAGCTAACACGTATACCATGTACCATGTTGTACCTTTTGCATGTACATATATACAGGTGCTTCTTTGTTAAATGAGGAAGAGTGAATAGTGAATACTATAAACCTGCATGTATAGATCTACATACACATCAAAGAATATACTGTCTTGTCCCACTACCTGTTGTTCCTTGCTGTCATAATTGAAGCCTTTCGAAGTACTATACCTGTTACTGCCCTTGTCAACACACTGGGAGGTTTAGTCACTCCCTTCGAAGTCTTAAAATAATTTAGTGAATCTATTTGATCTTTTATTACCTGAGGACTCCTGCCTTTCAATAGTAATGTCTGGTGATTCTGGTTTGGTTGATGCTACATGTACATTACATTACATTATACATTAGGTCTAAGAAGTAGCAACTTGTCACCTAATACACTTATGCTTGTTCTTTTTTGAGTCAGTTCATCAGATCGGGAATGGCTTATGCAGTCAATTGTTTTATGTTAATGTACCTATTATGTTGGTGTATCAACCTGGCCATGAAAAAAATAAAATTAATAATAATAATAATAATAATAATAATAATAATAATAATAATAATAATAATAATAATAATAATAATAATAATAATAATAATAATAATAATAATAATAATAATAATAATTTATGCTGATATCAGTTGATTTTTAGCACTTTCAGATGCTTCCTTTGAATAATATCTAATTTTCATTTTACATTAAAATTACATCTATGCCTACATGTATATTTAAAACAAGATATAAGAATTTTTTAGCCATTTTTAATGAAATTTGGCCAAATACTTATAGTACAGGGACTTTTGTCTGTGATTTCAAGCAATTTAAAAAATTCATTAAAAATCCAAATTTGATTGGAATCGGCTCGAACTTGCTATGCAACATACATGTAAATACATGTATGTATATCAAAAAGTGTAACAAAAATGGGAAATTTTCTCCTTTTCATTATTGATGAAATTGGACCAATTTGCTAGATCCATACATAGTACAGGAGCTTTATGAGCAACTTAAAATTTTTTTCAAATTCAAATTTGATTGGAATCAGTTCAAACTTTCTATGCAACATAAGTACATGTAGCTACTTATACCAGGTGGTACTTATACCAGGTGGGTGGGTATAAGAGTAGTTTTTTTGCTATTACTGTATAGCAAGATTTCATAAAGTAGTACAAGATAATTTGATTGTGCACACTTTTAAAAAATGCAATTAATTTTGATGCAAAGGTTTCTATTTTGCATATTAATAAAATATTGATGTTCTTATGCTGTGTAGAAAGTTTGAGGTGATTCCGCCTTCGATCTTTCAAGTTACAGCCATTTTAAGAAAATGCCAAAATTCTAAAAAAATACCCAAGGCTATAGCCCATGGTTTTTTCAAAAATTGGCTCCAAAATTACCCCAAATTTTTATTACATTTTCTGATACATATTGATGTCCTTATGCTGTGTAGAAAGTTTGAGCTGATTCCTCCTTCAATTTTTCAAGTTACGGCCAATTTAAGAAAACGCCAAAATTCTGAAAAATACCCAAGGCTATAGCCCATGGTTTTTTTCAAAAAAATGGCTCCGAAATTACCCCAAATTTTTATTACATTTTCTGATACATATTGATGTCCTTATGCTGTGTAGAAAGTTTGGAGTGATTCAGACTTCAATTTTTCAAGATACGGCCATTTTAAGAAAATGCCAAAATTCTAAAAAATACCCAAGGCTATAGCCCATGGTTTTTTCAAAAAATGGCTCCGAAATTACCCCAAATTTTTATTACATTTTCTGATACATATTGATGTCCTTATGCTGTGTAGAAAATTTGAGCTGATTCCGCCTTCAATTTTTCAAGATACGGCCATTTTAAGAAAATGCCAAAATTCTGAAAAATACCCAAGGCTATAGCCCATGGTTTTTCCAAAAAATGGCTCCAAAATTACCCCAAATTTTTATTACATTTTCTGATACATATTGATGTCCTTATGCTGTGTAGAAAGTTTGAGCTGATTCCACCTTCAATTTTTCAAGATACGGCCATTTTAAGAAAATGCCAAAATTCTGAAAAATACCCAAGGCTATAGCCCATGGTTTTTCCAAAAAATGGCTCCGAAATTACCCCAAATTTTTATTACATTTTCTGATACATATTGATGTCCTTATGCTGTGTAGAAAGTTTGAGCTGATTCCGCCTTCAATTTTTCAAGATATGGCCATTTTAAGAAAATGCTAAAATTCTGAAAAATGCCCAAGGCTATAGCCAATGGTTTTTTTCTAAAAAATGGCTCCGAAATTACCTCAAATTCTTATTACATTTTCTGATACATATTGATGTCCTTATGCTGTATAAAAAGTTTGAGCTGATTCCGCCTTCAATTTTTCAAGATACAGCCAATTTAAGAAAACGACAAAATTCTGAAAAATACCCAAGGCTATATGTAGCCCATGGTTTTTTTCAAAAAATGGCTCTGAGGTCACCTCAAATTTTTATTACATTTTCTGATACATATTGATGTCCTTATGCTGTGTAGAAAGTTTGAGGTGATTCCGACTTTAATTTTTCATGTGACGGCCATTTTAAGAAAACGCCAAAATTCTGAAAAATATTTAAGGCTATAGCCCATGGTTTTTTTCAAAAAAATGTCTCCAAAATCACCCCAAATTTTTACTACATTTTCTGATACATATTGCCGGATGTCCTTATGCTGTGTAGAAAGTTTGAGCTGATTCCGACTTCAATTTTTCTACCTTGTATATAGGACACACATTAAGAAATTAATGAAAGAAGTTTATTCCAACATAAGCCTATAGAACAAGTGAAGGAGTGAATTAATTTTTTTTGTGCAGCAACATGCAAATTCATTCATTTTTGTTCTTTTCTTAAAAGTTGCCCAAAAGTTTGGCCAGAGTCTTTGTACTATTGTAAGTAGAAAGTTTAAATTCCTTATAATTTTTAACAGTTTATCTAATAAATTTTGAAGTTGCTTCAAAAGCTGTAGCTAGTTGTAAAGTTGATCAGCAGTAAAACATATACATGTACTCACGCGCATGTAGGCTATAAGTAAGTGATATTCTATTTTTGTCTAATAGCACTAGCCGTGCTTGCAGTATTGTCTTTGCCTGACTGAGTGCATGTACATATAACTAAATTATATCTTATGGTACGAGTTGTTGCTTCCCACTAATTTTACTTCAAATTAAGAAAAGAATACAAGTCGTATATCGATACACAAAAATAATATTAAATTATAATTTTACATAATGGTAACAATGAAATTTACAGATTTATTGAACGATTTACAATTACAAAGGAGACACAGTATTAAATTAACTAACTTAAAGTATCAGATTGTTGGAGTCTGGTATAATGTAAATCTACATGTAGTTTAATTTAAAGAATAATAGATATTTATTCATTATAAGAGCTAAGGGCTAAGGGTAGAATGTCTTGTGTTTGTGCATGTGCAGTAGCATAGTGATGAATATTGTGATTGTCAAAACTTTTGATCTTTTAAGTTTGCTCCTCTCCTGTTTCTTGAGTTCTGTACTTGTCATAGACAAAGCAATTATTATAACTATGCATAACTGATATAAAAGGACTGTCACAGGATTGACTGGTAGTTTGTATACTGGGTTGTATGTATGTATTGATATCAGTTATAGATGACATCACATATTCCTTTATTGATGAGTGATGAGTAGTACTATAGGTATAGCTTGTCAGATACTGATAGTATGTCCGCTCTAATTGCTGTCGTGGGATTTGCACAGTTACATGTAAGTTTTGCTTGCCTTCTGATGGATCTGTTGTTGTTGATTGGCCTATTTGAGCCTGTAGCTGTTGTGCTGGTTCATCAGCCATATCACCTTCAGGTACCAAATCGTCATTATGAGAATCATGATCCGACAAGTGTCTTTTTGCACCTTGGCCTAGTTCAGCACTTAATCGCTTAATTACCTCAGTAGTGTTGTGCTCTTCTATTGGTAGGGGTTTGGGATCTCTTGAAACTTTTCCAGCATGAGGTCCACCAATTTCTTGTCCTTCTGCCATTTTAATTTTCTTTTTTTAATTTAATCTAATTGATCAAATGAAGAATAATTTTGAGTATTTCGATGAAAACAGCTGAATACGGTTATTGTTTTTATAGTATTGATTGTTTTTATAACAATACTAATGTTATTCATTTCATTTAAGCAGTACACTTACATTAAAGCCCACCATCCACCATTCAACTTTGTCGAAAGTAACTTTGTAGTTACTTTGGTGTGCTGTCAACTCTGTTGCCTGAAATAGAATTGAGTTCTATTTTAGGCAACAGAGTTGCCATAAGATCAAAGTAACCACAAATTTTACTTTCAACAAAGTTGAATGGTGGATGGTAGGCTTAATGGGATGTTCAAGTCATTCTGTATCTTATGTCTTAAATGTTGTAAGACAACTCCTCATGCAGTCTGTACATTTTCCAGTTGCTTAATTGCGTATGAGTGTTTCTTTAACACTGTAACTAAGTGTATACCGTATAGCGGGTAAATTTGGAGGGGCTAAATTTTGGCGAATTGCTAAATTTTGGTGACTGGCAGATTTTAATTTGGCGAATTTGTGGCCACATGCCATTGAGTATGCGTATAATGGCTCAAAGTAGTGTATTTTTATTTTGGTTAATGGCTATCAAATGCCAAATTTGCCAAATTTAATCCCCTCCAAAATTTCTTGCTATACGGTAATGATGATGGTGAAGGTGAAGTAATGGGGTAACGGTGAAGAAAATGTGCGTGGATCAACATTCACTGTATTCGCTGCATAATATGTTTGTCATTGACTAATTTAGATTTTGTTTGTGTTTAATTTGTGTGACCAAAGATTGAGGAATTTGCAGGATGTTCCAAAGCTTTCTCATTGTACATACATACCCTCCTGATAGGAGGAGCATCTAACCAACTATTATTTCAGCTGCCAATTGCATGCATATAAAGTAATGATTAGTATTGTACCTTTCACTAAAATACATAGTTAAACAATCTTCTACATGCATCTGTGTTAATGTGCATGTATAATATTAATATTGCCAGTCAGTAATTTTATTTATAAACACAAACTTGATAATTAGTGATGTAACAATGAATCATGATTTATAGCAAAATTAACTGATTATGAATAAAGGAATGAATTATGGTATATAGCATAACTGAATGGAATGAACTGGTGTAATTCACAAAATGTACATAAATGTATCAATAACAACACATTTACACACCATATCACACAATGGGGGTGCCTTTTGCATTGTGATATTTATAATATAAGTGTCTTCCTCAATTATAGATTCAGTCAAGAGTGGGGCTTCTGTTGAATGTATCACATTGACTTTAAAGACATCATTGGAAGGCAAGAAAGTGCTGGACAGAAAATGTCTACACATAGACATAAACATAATTTCTCACAAAGATTTGTCACTTTTTATAATTATTATAATAATAGTCTAGATTTTTATCAGAAACTAAGCTGTAATTTACAATTATTAGTTGAATTTCACAGCCGATCTGTGGGTTCAATGTAGCATGCAAACATCAACAGTCTATGAACATCATGTTTGTATAATTATGCCTGCATTGACTGAGCACACAGTAAACATGCAGTATTTTTAATAATTATATTTTAAACCACTTTTTAGTTTTCAGTAATACTCTACAAAATACAACTAAACTCAATTAATTATTAATTCACTGAATATGAAAAAACAATAAGAAGTACTTTAATTGTGTGGAGTTTTGTTTTGGCAATTTGTCATCAAAATTGTTGCACCAATTATGTGCAGCTTGTGATAGTGAAATTCCAAAATAAAGTGCATTGCTAAATAACAGAAGAAAAACTTAAATTTAAATGGCAATAATTTATTCCTTCTTTATGCTACTATCTTTATAGACCACCCAGAGTGAGAATTGCTTGCGTGGGAAGACTATTACGGTTGTAAGGCGTGGTTTACAATGAAATAAATTCCGGCCGCCATTTTGGTTGGCAACTTTCAATGGAGAACAAACGGGTCGACACAAAAACAAACCTGTATTAAGAATTCTGGAGCGAATTTGACCAAATCTTTCACAGGATAAGCTTAAAGGTAGCTATTCTTTCTTATAACAAGCACTTTTTAGCTATTGATAGAGCTACAGCAGGTAAGTGAGGCATTTTCTTCGTGCCTCCATTGACTTCCTTAACAAACTTGCCAACCAAAATGGCAGCCAATTATGACGCGTGGGCGGATACCGTATATAAAATTAATGAAATTCATAGCTTTTGCAATTCTCACTCTGGATTAGGCTTTGGCATATTATTCCACCATTTCATTACATTATGCTATTCTCTAGTGCTTCAGATATATGCATTATGCTTACAATATTTATTGGCTATGCTTACAATTATTCTGAATTATTATCAAAATTATTTTTTTTAATAAAAAAATTATTATTTATCACACATTATACTGTAACATCAAGGAACATTGTACATAGTCTCCAAGAGAGTGACTTTGCTGGGGGCTAAATGAACAGCTATGTTAACATTTCACATTCAGTGAGTGAAGTCACATGGTTGAAGTTTATTGACTATTCTGGAATAATGCTTAATTCCTAGTGTGGTTCATTAGGCTCGATATTATGCTAGCCTAATATGCTCAAGCCTACTCTGGGTGGTCTATAGGCAGTGTACATTGTATTCCATATAAGGGCATTAACTATATTAGTAGATTTACTCATAATGTAAACTTTGGTCAAGAGAAAGGAAGTAGTAATGGTTCTTTCGAGGGCTAGAGTGTATGTTGTTCCTGTAATGTCTTTCCCTGCTATTATGGTACTTGTTTGGACGTATTTTATGTTGATTCAGCTTTATTTGATCATCAGTCCTATCTTTGGAAGTCTTGGAGATATTCCCTATATTATATACATACTGTTTCCTCTCATTGGACTATTAACTGATGTGCATATAGGAAGATATAGAGCAATAACAATTGGTGTCAACCTTTGTTTCATATCAAGGGCGTACGGAGAAAAAAAGGAAGGGGTAGGCTATGAGTAGAAAAGGGCGCGGGAAGCGCGCCGCCGATTTGGCCCTGCCCACTTTTACAGCCGCGAAATGGGCGTGTTCTCGCAATATGAAATT